AGCACCTGCACCGGCGCAGCATGCCTGTGGACGAGCGGGACCTGCGCGCCGCCCTCCCGCAAGGCGAGCTCTCCGGCCTGGTACGCTGCACCTCGTACAGCCCCGGCGAGGCGCACCGGGAGAGCTGGGCCTCCGACTCCTCCGACTCCGTCATCTCCTCGGGCAGCGAGTCCGACAGCAGCCTCTACAAGGTGATCCTGCTGGGCGAGCACGGCGTCGGCAAGACCAGCCTGGCGCGCATCTTCGGCGGCGTGGAAGACTGCGCGGACGCGGAAGAAGCTGGTGAGGGCGCGGGGCGACGCGAGACCCTAAGGGGCACCCGCTCGGAGCGACGGAGCGCGGCGTTACCGCTGCCAGAGCGCTCCGGCCGCAGCTCCCCGAGCATCCTTCCCCTCCCAGGCTGCCGGCAGGGATGGAGAAGACTAACTTATTTTTCCTGAACTTTTTTCCCGTAGGAAATACATACGACAGATCAATTATAGTTGACGGAGAAGAAGCATCTCTCGTGGTGTTTGATATATGGGAGCAGGTACTTTACAGATTTAAGATATTCTTTTTCTTTATCGTTTGGTCGGTGGTTCACTCAAAAAAAGTAGAAATGGAACAACTATGTCTGCCTGTTTCTTTGATCGGATCTGTAACATTCAAAAGTGACATTAAAAAAATGAGAATTCATACTGCCTTTGTTCTCTCCTGCAGTTAGTTTCTTGTAGCTAGGCAGGCAATTAAAAACCTGGATAGGGCTGGAGTGTGAATCTCTTAATGCTTTGAATAAGCAGCAGCTTACGTGAGCAGCCCAGGGAATTACTGTAAAATTAGAGATTCATGATCTGATCAGTGCAGACCTGATATTATTTCTGGAAACGAGAACTTTCTTTTCTCATGTATTTTAAATAACAAAATCTTTTAAAAATTGCGAGCTTGGCTTACTTTTATTGGCTTATTGTAATAAAGCTAATAAAATTATCTTTAAGGTGCTTACAGTAATTAAATCACTGATCAGTGTTGAATAGATTTTTTTTTCAGTGCAATAAATCTATTTCTTGCCTTTTGTTTTAGGATGAGAGCCAGTGGCTTCAGAACCAATGTATGAAAATGGGAGATGCATATATTATTGTATATTCAGTGACAGACAAAGTTAGTTTTGAAAAGGCCTCTGAGCTAAGAATCCAGCTAAGAAGAGCAAGGCAAACTGAAGACATTCCTATTATTCTTGTGGGCAATAAAAGCGACTTGGTCAGGTCCCGGGAAGTCTCAGTTGATGGTAAGAGAAACTATTCATTTCTACCATAATGTCTAAGTTAGTAGCAAAGGCTATGAAGGATTATGGCCAATAGAAATGGTCCCATTTCAATGTAGAAAAATGTATGATTCGAGGTGCACCAGAGAAACCAAGCCAGCTGGTTAATGCTGAGGGACTTGGTACCACAGAAACCAGTGGAGATGGTGGTGGAGTAAGAAGTGCAGTACGAGAGAAAAAAATGTTTCAGAGCTGCAGCTTCAGCATATTGTTTTGTGTGGGATTCATTTTTGGTCAGTATTAGCTGAAAGGGTTTAATTGTATGTTATGTGTGCAGCAGCACTTGCTAGTCTCAAGATTTGATAGCCTGAGCTGTGCTTTTTAAGGGACGGGAGTGCCATGTTGTAGAACTCGGGCAGACTTTCAAAAGGGTGATCCTGGGTTGAGCCTGTACAATCCTCTTTCTGCTGGAAGTGATTCCACTACATTTAAGTTGAGCTGGTGGGACCAGGCTCACACAACTTAGTCTTTCTGTATATGTGCTGCAGTTGTGATGAGATTTTTCTCAGCTAGTTCCAGCTAGCATTTTGGTAACTAGAGCACAGTAACTACTGCCAAGAACACAACATTAAATTCACTTATTTAAGCTTTTGGTGGTTTGGTTGGTTTTTTTGGTTTGGTTTGGTTTTGTTTTTTGCTGGGAAGAATACTCTGAAATATCAGTGGCTTGATAATAATGAGCCATCTCTCGCTGTCTGTTTTTCCCATGTTCTCTGTGTTAAAGGCCCACACAGAGAATTGACTGAAGTTCATTAGGATATTAGAACTTTTTCCAGGCTGGTGGCAGTGCACAGCTGATGTGTCCTAGTGGTGACATCAGCACTTTGCTCAGGTTTACAACTTTGCCATCATTTACCAGAAGTTGAACATGGACATTTGCACTGCTGCAAAGTTATGTGCTTACCTCTGGAACATTGAGCATCTTGCATTTTGAATGCAGTCCTAATCAAATCCAATGGTGTACAAATTAGTGACCTCTAGTGATCTGTTCAATGACTTGACTTTGCGGACTGTATCAGCTTCATTTGTAACTAGCGTGGAAAACTCTCACTTGTTACAGCAAGGCAAAGGTGCATAATTGCTCAACAACTCCCAGAAGAAATAAAATCTGTTTCTTTCTGTACCTCACAGTGTTCCCATCAAACAGCAAGCATGCATCCAAGTGCCACTCCTGTGTCATCTTTAGCTCTTAAACAATACTGGGATGGTCTGCCTGCCTATAGGACTATTGTTGCCTTATATTCATTACCATTGGTCAAATGAAATTTCTGACTATCACAACAGAACCAAGAAAAGTAGGGCCAAAACCATGGATGCAAATTTACATTTTCCTACCATGCAGTAAAGCTCTTCTGTGGCATTGAAGGCACTTTCCTTACTTAAAGTCATTGGTTTGGTTTGGTTTGTTTTTTTTCTGCCAGTATATAAAGGAAGAGAAAACGTCTATCTCCACTCATCTCCCTTTTTCTTTTTCCATCCAGAGGGACGGGCCTGTGCAGTTGTGTTTGACTGCAAATTCATCGAGACCTCAGCTGCTCTTCATCATAATGTGAAGGACCTGTTTGAAGGTATTGTTCGGCAAATTAGACTTCGCAAAGACAGTAAAGAAGACAACGCTAGGAGAATGGCCAACACAAAAAGAAGAGAAAGCATAGGCAAAAAGGCAAAGCGATTCCTTGGGAGAATTGTGGCAAAGAACAATAAGAAGATGGCTTTCAAAGCAAAATCAAAGTCTTGCCATGACTTATCTGTGCTTTAGAAGCTTTCAGCAAGGCCAGCTGTTGCACATGGGTGATGAACAAGCATTTGACTGTTATGAGAAGTGTATGGATGATCCTCATGGTGATAACAAGAATGACTTACCAATCAAGACTCTCATTAATGCCTTAAGGTGCACAAGCAAGTCTGGAAGTTACACTACAATGTCTGCTTCATAAGTTTCAATGTGTGCAAGTAAATGAACTAACTAACTAAGTGGCTTGACACGCCCACATTTTCACTGTGTACATATGTTATATATCCTCTTGTCCTGTGAATACCAGAAATGCAAAGATAAGAAAGGATGATGATGAGTATCTCCATAGACTTGTCTCGTTTGCAGAGCAAAACTTAAACTTGTACGCAGGCTCGTACACTCTTTTTAGTATAAAGCAAGCAATGATAAATCTTTTTAAACTTAAATGTGGGGAGTGGGGAGTAGAACCACATTAGAATGGGAGAAAACAGATTACATAAATAT